ATCGTTTAGGAATAAATAAATAAATAATAAAAACTATAAAACTTCTAGAAGGAAACAGAGTCTGAGCAAATCTTCCTGAACTTGGATTTGGCAAAAGATTCCTAGGGGTGACATCAAAAGCAAGAGTATCAAAAGCAAAACTAGATAAACTGAACATCAGAACTGAAACTTTTTGTGCACCACAGGACACTATCAAGAAAGTGAAGACTAGGGTGCCTGGGTGGCTCAGTCAGTTGAGCATCTGCCTTCAGCTCAGGTCATGATCCCAGGGTCCTGGGATAGAACCCCGCATTGGGCTCCCTGCTCAGCGAGGAGTCTGCTTCTCCCTCTCCCTCCGCCGCTCCCCCTGCTTGTGCTCTCTAACTCTCTTTCAAATAAATAAAACCTTTATAAAAAAAAAAGTGAAGACCATCTACAGAGTGGGAGAAACGATTTACAAATCATACACCTGATAATGATATTGTCCAGAATATATAAAGAATTCATTCAGCTAGAAGATAAACATCCCAATTAAAAAATGGGCAAAGGACCTGAATGGACGTTCCTCCAAAGAAGATACAGGACTGGCTAACAAGCACATGAAAAGATGCTCAAACCATGAGTCATCAGGGACATACAAATCAAACCACAAGGAGACACCACTGGACACCCACAAGGATGGCTATAATTTAAAACAAATAGGGGAAAATCACAAGTGCTGGCACGGATGTGGAAAGACTGGAACCTTCACACCCTGTGAGGGACATGGGAACGTGAAATGGTACAGTCACTGAGGAAAAGCAGCTGGTGGTTCTTCCAAAAGTTAAACATAAAATTACCATCTGACTCAGCCACCCCACTCCTGGGTATGTACGCAAAAGAACCGAGAGAAGTAGTCAAACGAATACCTGTATGCAAATACTCGAAGTAGTACTATCCTCAAGAACCAAAAAGTAGAAACAACTCAGATGTCCGTCAACTGATGGATGGACACACAGAATGTAGTCCATGCAATGAAATGTTATTCGCCCATAAAAAGGAATGAAGTCCCGGGGTGCCTGGCGGGCTCAGTCAGAAGAGAGAGCAGCTCTTGATCTTGGGGTTGTGGGTTCGAGCCCCACACTAAGTGTAGAGATTACTAATAAAAAAACCCCAAAACTTAAAAACAACAACAACAAAATGGAATCCTGACAGGCTACAACATGGATGAACCTCAGAGGTATTACAATGAGTGAAAGAAGCCAGACACAAAAGGTCACACACATGTGATTCCATTTATATGAAACGTCCAGAATCAGCTAATCCTCAGAGACAGAAAGCAAATTGGTGGCCGTCAGGCGCTGGGAGGAGGGAGAATGGCGGGGGCGGGGTGGGGGCTGCTTAATGGATTCAAGGTTTCCTTTTGGGGTGATGAAAACGTTCTGGAACCAGACAGAGGTGGTGGTTACACAATACCGTGAATCGACTAAATGCCACTGAATTGTACACTTTAAAGCGGTTTGTTTTTGTTAGGTGAATTTTATAATTTTATCTCCATAGAAAAAGAAAAACGCTCCCAGTGCATGAAAAGAGATATGAAGGGCCTATGGGTGTTCCCTGGCTCCCCCGCTCTCCCCTTGTGCAGTCTGAGCACCGGACCTGGGCCCAGCCCGCCTCACCCCTCCAGAGCCAGGTGCCCCCCCCTTCTGGGAGGAAGGCGTGGCAGCCCCCTGGCCCCAGGCCCGAGAGCAGAGCACACCGGCCGGCCACCGCCACGGGCGCACAACTGCACCGCACCCATGGGGAGCCCCAGATAAGGTGCTCCCGAGTCCAGCCCTAAGTGGGTCCCGGGAAGGGACCCTGGCACGGTGCCATCACCCACGGCCCTCCCAGGGCAGGAGATAAAGCCAATCTGTCGGCGGCGCCCGGGGAACAGCAAGCACACCAAGGAGGGCCTCTGTTTCTGGGGCAGCCTGGCAACCCGACCGGTCGCCGCCCGAGGCGCCCCCGCAACCTGGCGCCGGGCAGGCGACCACGGGGATCTGTGGCCAAGGGAAGCTTGGCTGCATCCGGGGAAGCCGAGCCGAGGGTGACCCGACCCGTCCCACCATGGCACAGGCAACCATGGCCCGTGGAGCCTGCCTCTTGTGAGAGTCACAGCTGTGCCACCCCACAGACCAGTCCCTGGCACACGGGAAGGGCTCAGTAAATATTTGACAAGTTAAAAAAAATCAAAAAGCTGGACCATATTCTTCCATGTATTTAAAAGACGCAGAAATCCAGCTCTTGGAAGGCCCTGCGTGACCCATAAGCCCTCCAGCCCCGCAGCGGGCCAGCTCCCGGCCTTGGCACAAGCCTCTTCCCCTTCGCCCGCTCTGCCCTCTCACGAGGATGGGCCCTCCAGACAGGGGTGGGGTGGCGCTCTG